TCCAACACTGCATTGGGATGGCCAAAAATTCATTCGAAAAAATAAGCATGGTATTAAGAAACAGAAAAACTTCCTTAGAAAAAAGAAAGGATTACTCAAATGTTATGTGATAGCTGTCCTATATGCTGTGAATGCTGGGCAGCCTCCTTAAGAAGGGACTTGAAGCGACAGAAATATGGTTCTACAGAAAGATGCTGCGCATACCATGGACAAAACATGTGAACAACGAGGTTTATAGAAAATAGAAACAAAGAGGAAACTTGTACTTAACATCAAAAAGAGGCAGTTGAGATTTCTGGGGGACGTAATGATCAAGGAGGGCTTGGAAAATCTAACACACTCAGGATAGATTGAGGTAAAGATAGACAGAGAAAAACAGCGCGTAACATACTTGATGGACTTGAATAAATGGAGGGCAGAACAGGGTTTAGGAGAAATTTGGGACAAGAAGATTTGGCGATTCCCTGGAGAAGTCATACAAGACCCATTTTTCAACCACCGAATCCTTTTCAGTTCTTTTCCATTTGTATAGGACTGTCGTATAACTAGCATTAAACTTCTCAATAAGTTCCCTCGACAAACTTCAAGTAATCTAAAAAATTATGAACTCAAAAACCTCATACAAAATAATTTATTTAACGCGTTTGTCATAAATAGAAGAATATACGGTGTAGTGCAGTGGATAACGACTCGGAATGAGAGAGAGCAGAGTTCGAATTCCTGTTTGGTACTTTCACTTGCGCAAATGCCATTGGGATAGTTATGAATTCATCTTTTCTCTCCCACGCATGAGTTGAATAGCAGGAAAGACTGGGTCCTATATACCTGGGTGGCATCTAGGAGAAAACTTCTGCCGAATCATAAACAGAAAGAGATGGTGGTCCAAATGTGTATCCTGGAATTGACTGACTGAATAAACAGAAATAACAATAATTCCGATCTTAAAAATTTTATCATTGTTAAGATAGAAATTAATATATATTGAAAGCTCATTAATTGATGCTAGTTCTATAATAAATCCACGAACCGATTTATTTCATATATCTCCATTCGTGAGAGAAATGCCTTTTTCCAAGTTAGTATATTTTTGAAAAACCACAAACATCCAAGAATTGAAATGAAATGCTTAATTTACAGCTTAATAATAATAATAATAATAATAATAATAATAATAATTCTGTTTTTTTGCAGGTTCATCCCGGTTTTCCTATTTAGGATTAGGTTTCTGGTTCTGGTTTCTGACAAGTGTCCTGGACACCTTCATTTTAGGTGACTTCTGTGGGGCCTTAACGAAGTGCATTGAAGTCAGAGGATCCTACACATATGGAGATCTTGTACTTCATTGAAATTAATAAATGTCTGTCCTGAAAAGGTCTGAAAACTTAGATTGCACCTCGTGTAGGTGAGAGAGTTCAAAATATTTTTTTAAAATAACACAACCCCCCCCCCAAAAAAAAACATGAAAATTTATTCAAAAGCATCGGTTGTACATAAATAATTTTAAACACCATTTCAATTTGAATATTTCTATCCATGTTAAGACAGAATCTAATTTCTTAACACGGAAATATGCTGAACGCACTCTAACTGATGCTAATTCTACAATAAATATACAAACCTTTTCACATATCATCATTTATTTCTGAACTATGACAAAACATCAACAAATTGAATTAAAAGTTGTTAATCTACTGAAATAATAATAATAATAATAATAATAATAATAATAATAATAATAATCACACAAAATAAAAATTGTGTTTGACCTAAATGTAAATTCTGTGATAAATATCCAGAAACAATTGACCATCTTGTATCAGGTTTCGCAGTGTTAGCACCCACTGAGTACAGAACTCGGGATGATAGAATGGGACAATATAGAGAATTGTAAAGCCTATGAAACATGAATGCAGAGATAATTCTTGTAGCTATGGGTACATTGGGAAAACAACTTGAAACCAAGATTGTAGACTGCCATCATTTAGTCTGCGAGGATTCACCGCCAAATTCTTGAGTTTTGAGGCGTCTTGTTGACACTAAGCCTCAAGAACAGAATTGCCATTGGCTACATCAATGTGTGACACCAACATAATAATAATAATAATAATGCTGATGATACTACTACTACTACTACTAGTAGTAGTAGTAATAATAATGTTTCGATTACCAGTATAGTGATAATCAATTAGAGTCCTCAATAATTTACTTTCGTTTTTATAAGGTAGGAAGTTTTCAAATATTTTCGAATGTTCTCATATTTGAATTGAAACACTAACGTCATTTCCTCAATCGTATTTTCGTGTCTGTACACATACAGTGTTTTCTTAATAAATATCTGTCTTTTGTCTTTGATGATGATCTGGAAGGAACGAAACACTTTCCCAAAAATAGTTTTCCTATTTTACCATTTAAATTTATTAATACGTATGTGTATGTATATATTAATATATATGTGTCAAGAACAAAAATTTGGTTTATATATATATATATATATACAGAGAGAGAGAGAGAGAGAGAGAGAGAGAGAGGGAGAGAACATTATTATAGATAAAATGAATTAAACTTGCAGGTTAATTTAAAGCCAGAAAATATTTTTAGATTGTAAAAATTTCTTTGGTTATAGCAATCATTTACTAACACAAATTCAACTAATTAACCTATAGCTGGGAGAAGGAGAAATTGATTTACACCTTCCTCAAGTGTTTTTGCGTGTAAGTAAATATAACGAACCCGATTGGAATTGGAACTCCGACTACCAATTCCGAGCCATTATCTATTACCACTCGAACATCCATGCTCACAGCACCCGCTATTCCCAAGCAGTCACCCATCGAGGTATTGAACGGGCTCAAAGTTGTTTAACCTGCGTTTCAACGTGATATTACCGTAAACCAATAACGATTGATTTGTTTCCTACGCCATATCAACGCTTTGCAGGTTATTTAAAACCAGAAAATAATTTTTTAGTTTGTAAGAATTTTTTATTTTTAGAGATAATAATGATTTAGTGATAAAAAAATCTTAATAATTAACCCATAGCTGTGGGGAGAAGACGTGGATTCATACCTTTTCCAAGGATATTTGCGCACGAGTGAAAATAACGAACCTAACTGGAACACATCTATACGATTAACAATTCTGAGTCATTAACCATTACACGACCAGCACATCCAAGGTCACAGCACCTAGGTCACCCACAGAGGTACTGACCAGGCTCGGCGTTGCCTAACTTCGGTGATCGTGCGAGAACCGGTGTTTCAACGTGATATAACCATAAGCTAATAAAAATTGGTTTTCTACGGTTTATCAACGCTTTGCTGGTTATTTAAAGCCAGAAAATTGTAAAATTTCTTTATTACGGGTGGGTATAATAATAATTTAGTGATTCGTGTCTTACTAATTGACTCATAGTTGGGGTGGGGAGATGTGGATTCATACCTTTCTGAAGGGTATTTTCGCATAAGTGGATATAACAAACTCAAATGGAATTGGAACTCGGCTCTCCGTTTAAGACTTCTGAGTCATTATCCATTACACAGGTATTCCCAAGCGGTCACCCATCTAATTACTGACCGGGCTTGACGCTGCTTAACTTCGGTGATCGTACGAGAACCGGTGTTTCAAGGTGATATGACCGTAAACCAATGAAGAAGAAGAAGGAGGAGGTGGAGGAGGAGTAAAAGAAGGAGGAGGAGTAATAGAAGAAGAAGAAGAAGAAGAAGAAGAAGAAGAAGAAGAAGAAGAAGGAGGAGGAATAGAAGAAGAAGGAGGAGGAATAGAAGAAGAAGAAGAAGAAGAAGAAGAAGAATGAGGAGGAGGAGAAGTAATAGAAGGAGTAATAGAAGAAGAAGGAGGAGGAGTAATAGAAGAAGAAGGAGGAGGAGGAGTTATAAAAGAAAGAGGAGGAGAATAGAAGAAGAAGGAATAATAGAAGAAAAAGAAGAAGGAGGAGGAGGAGGAGTAATAGAAGAAGAAGAAGAAGAAGAAGAAGAAGAAGAAGAAGTAATCGATGAAGAAAAAAATGGAGGAGAAGTAATAGATGAAGAAGAAGGAGTAATAAAAGAAGAAGAAGAAGAAGAAGAAGAAGAAGAAGAAGGAATAATAAAAGAAGGAGTAATAGAAGAAATAATAAAAGAAGAAATAGAAGAAAGTGTGTTTTATAACGGTTACAGTAATTATTTTAATATTGTTATTAAAATTAAAAAAATAATATCTTTATTGCAATACACATTATGAAAGCTATTTAATTCTATAAAAATGCGGAAGAGAAAGTGAATATTAATAAAATTGTAATGGTAACAATGACAATAGAATAAAAAAAGAAATCACTTATAATTCTGATTCGGCCCAGTGATATTTGATGCGGATGCAGATATCGATTACACATTAAAATCATTTATAAATATTTTCTGAGTAAAAAGACCAACGACAAATGGGAAAACAACTACATCAACAGTAACAAAAAATGTTGAATATGAGTATGAATACCCGAAAGAGAAAGGAAAAATAGAATGAGAAAGGTCAATAGAAGAAATTATAGTCTGATAAAGATCACTATTTACAGATCACCCAGGACGGATCGAACACGATCCCAATACATTTGAATCCTGCGTGCAAACCACCGCTCCACTACAAGTGCTTAAGAAGGCAAAGAGGCGATGATTTAAAGAAAGAGACATAATGGGCTAAAGAAAATGTTACTAAGATATTTATCTAACCAATCCATTAAGGAATGATGTATTCGACAACCCATAGCGAATTGAGTTGTCCGTCCGTCCGTCAATCTGTTGGTGTGTTTGTCTGTAAAACTGTTCTTCTATGTCTTCCTTCCTCTTTCTCTCTTTTCTCCCTCCTACTTCTACCATGCGAACCAATCAGAGATTCTTTTCAGAGTTTTCGTTTGTCACTGTCAACACTGTCGACTCAGCGTATTGTTCAAGAAAGAGCTCCCAATGAATTTCTACACCCGCCATTTCTATGCGCCATTATACCCGCTCATATTAGCGAACAGACAGAAAAGAAAGGCGACAAAGAAGGGACAGAGGAAAAGTGAAAGGATGGATGGACAATAAGCGAAGAATGAATAAGAAAAGAAAGAAAATAAGAAAGAAATAAAGAAAGAAAGAAAGAAAAAAAGAAAGAAGGAAAAGAATAAAGGGATAGCAAAAAGAAAAGAAGGCGAAGAAAGTGTAAATAATACAATTAAAGAAAGAAGTAAGGGTATTACAGTGGATGGTAGGGATTATGGAAGTAAACGATGTAAAGAAAGAAACAGTAAAAAAAGAAAAATGAATGAAAAGAATGCGAGAATAAATGAAATAAATCGAAAAAGTTAAATGCGAGTAAGCGAAAATATAATAGTAAGAGAAAGGAAGAACGTAAGAAGAAAAATTACAAATAAGAAAATGAAAGAAAAGAGATAAATTCTTTTAGCAACGGAATAAAGAAAGTAGAAAGAATGAAAGATTCGTAAGGTGACTGAAAAAAAATTAATATCAGAATAAAAACGTGATAAAATGAAGTAAGTGAAAACTAAAAAAAAAAAAAAAATGAAAGCCTCTAAGTGAAAGAAAGAAAACAGCCATAGAATGGATGACCGCAAGAATGAATGGAAGTAGTGAAACAAAAAAAAACTATCATAAGGAAAAGGCGCGAAAATAAAGTGAAAAAAAAATAAAAATCTGTATGCAAAAGAATGAAAATAGCTAAAGAAAGAAACATTGCCCAAATGAATGAAAGTAGTGACAAAAAAAAAAAAACAATGAAAAGGAAAAGACGCTAAAATGAAGTGAAAGATTTAAAAAAATATAAAAACCTCAAAGTGAAATAATGAAAACAGTCAACGAATGAAAGATTACAGAAACGAATGAAAAAAGCGCAAAAAACTATGAAAAGAAAAAGGCGGTAAAATGAAGTGAAAATAATATGAAAGCCTCTAAGTGAAAGAAAGACAACAGCCAAAGAATGACATATGAGAAAGATGAAAGAAAGAAGTAAAAATAAATTTAATATCGAAAAGAAAAGGCAGTAAAATGAAGTGAAAAATAAACAAGAATTAAAACCTTTAAGTGAAAGAAAGAAAGCAGTCAAAGAATAAAAGTTCAGAAAGATGAAAGGAAAAGAATGGAAAACTATCGAAAGGAAAACGGAATAAAATAAGAAATGAAAACCTCTAAGAGAAAGGATGTAACAATTAAAAGAATGACAGCAGAAATAAATAAATAGATAGAAGAATGGATTGACGAATGCATTCAAAAAGAGAAAGAATCGTCAGGAAAAGAAAAACAAAAAAAGACACCAGAATAACTGAAAGAGAAAGAATGGCTAACCGTAAATATGAGAGAGAGAGAGCGAGTGAGAGAGAGAGATAGAGAGTGAGAGAGAGGGGGAGAGGAAAGAGAGAGAAGGAAAGAGAGAGAGAAGGAAAGAGAGAGAGAAGGAAAGAGAGAGAGAGAGAGAATATTGAATCGGAGTTAGAAAAGTATAAATAGAAAACGTAAATATCGGTTTAAAAATGACGGCGAAAAGATATGTTATATAAAAGGTAGAAAAGGGGCGAGAACGAGCTAAATAGCGAGTGGAAAGCAAAAGATAAACTAAAATAAAGAGGGAAGAAAACTGGACCATACGAATAACATAAAGAACGACAGAAAAGAAAGTGAAAGAAAAAAAAAAGGGTAAGTGAACCAAAAAAGAAAGAAACAACTTTAAGAGAGAAGGAAAGGGAAAGAGAGAAGAAATTGAAAAGAAAGTGAATCAAATAGAAACAAAAGCCGAAAATAAACAAAAAACTTGGATGAGACCAAAGCAAAGATAAATAAATAAAAAGAATAACAATAAATCAGGCATGACATTATAACAAAGCGATCGCTATAACAACAACGAGATGAATAATAATAATAATAATAATAATAATAATAATAATAATAATAATAATAATCTAACTAATAACGATAATAATGATGAGATGAGCAAAAAAGGAGAGTAGAAAGGACAATATCTGCAGTAACAAAGAAAAAGAGAAGGGTGAGATGAAGATCATTGAAAAAGGAAGAGTGGTTTTGAATTATCATCCTGGTCAGATTAAGCAGCGAGGCTTTCAACTGAGAGAAAAAAAATGTGAAAAAAAAGCAACAACTCGAAAAATTGTTTAGAATACTTAGGGTGAATAGAATCTCTTTTCCATGGACTACTTTTTCTTATTTGGAGTTTTTAGCCGAACCCTTCGACCACATCACCAACCTCATTTCCATGGTCGAATTTCATTTTAAATATTTTGCTTTCTTTCTTTTCTTTCTTTCTTGTTGGCAATTATGGCCTTGTTAGAAGTGGTCTTTCTTTCTTGGCAAATAATGTGTTGATAGTCGTGGTATTCTTTTCTTTCTTTGTGATTATGTTAGAAGATTTCGTTTTACTTGCTTTCCTTGAATAGATATTTCTTTCATATTTTCGATTAGGGTATTGTTCTTGTGTTCTTACTTTCTATATTTCTATGATTCTTTCTTTCTTGATAGCGATCATGGCGTTGTTAGTAGTGTTTTTTCTTTCATTTTTTTTCCATATGCGACTAGGGTTTTGTCAGTTATGTTCTTTCATTCTTTCTTTCTTGTTGGCGATTATGGTGCTGTCTGGTGTGTTTTTTCTTTCTTGGTGACAATAGTGTCGTTGTCAGTTATGTTCTTTTTGGTGATTGTATCTTTGTTAGTAATGTCTTTTCTTTCTTTCATTTTTTCTATTTTTATTAAATTACTCCTTCTATTTCATTTTTCATTCTCGCTTACCTGTACTTTCTTTGTAAATATAATATTTATTTTTATTTCTTCCATTTTAAAATTCTGCTATATAATTAGTTTTTTTTCTTCCAATATCTTTTTTCTCTTATCTACGGTTAACAGATTTTGTCTTTCTTTTATTTTTCATACTAATTCTCTTATCTTTTTTATTTATCACCGTATATCTCTACAACTGTCTCTTTTTGCTCATCATGTCTTTCTTTGGTAGCCATGATTTTTCGTTGTATTAATAGTGGAATTGTTTCCTGTTTCCTTCTCTACGGTGCTTTTATTGCGACACCATTATTGGTTAGAGTCTGGCACTCACAGGATATTCGAAGTTTGAGAGATAGTGGAATGACGAGAATAACCTACCTAACGAGCTTGTGTAAATGGTTGGTAAAACAGGGGTTAGGTGAGATAGTAAAAAGACAACACTTGCTAAGAGCTACAAAGATCAGTTGTGGAGGGCCGTTGTAGATATCTCACATCCTGAATGAACACCGAACGAAGAATATATATTTTGCTATGTTGCGCATTACTGTATTTTTTCTACACCATCCTCTTCTATGTCATTCTTTTTTCATTATTCGTTTCTTACTTCTTTCCCTGTTCTACTTTCATTCTTGACACTCTGCTTCAATTTACGTTTCTACTTTCGCTTTCGTTTCTCTACTTTTACTTTCATTTTCTACATTTTTTCCCCTTTCCATTTTTTATTTCCATTTTGCTATTCAATCTCTCGTCCTCTTTTACTATATTCACTCACATTTTAGTTTTACTCCATCTTTTACTGAATTCTTTTCCATAGTGTTTCTCAACTTCCATACACGTCTCTTTACTTTTTTCGTCCATTCTCTCCATTCACGTTTCTCATTTCTTTTCACGTTTTACACATCTTTTTCAACCCCTTGCTCACTATTTTTACCTTTCCTTTCATTATTCTCAATCTCTTGTATTCTTTTTCTCACTTTTATTCATTTACACAATTTCTCTCCCGCTTTTAATATTTTCATTCTATTATATACTTCTTTTGTTCGTTTTTTTTTTTACTTTCATTCATCTACACCCTTTTTTCTATCAATTTATTATTTAATTCTCTACATTTTCTCTTTTCCTTTCAAGTGGCAGCCATATTTCAACATTTCTTCTACAAATTACTACTTTTCTCTTTCCCCTTTCATTTACATTATTGTTTCCCTTTTTTCCTCTTTTTTTCGCTCCTTTATTATTTTCATTCTCTTTTTCACTCCTTTTTCCAAATTTTTATTCTGCACTTTTTTCTCTTTCCTGTTCTCATTTTCATTGTCTTCCTCATCTTCTTACTTTCATTCAACTGCGTTTTTCCCCCTTATTTTTCATTCTTGTCTCTTTGTTTTACTTTCTATGTTAATTTTATTCTGTACACTGTTCTCTCTTTTCTTACCAAATGTCAATCACGTGTCACTTCTTTCTCCTTCCTTTTTCATTCTTTTATATTCTTATTCCTGACTTTTTTTTTACTTTCATTCTCTTTTACTCTTTTCCTTATTATTTTCATTCTCTTATATTCATGGTTCTCACCATTTTCTATCTTCGTTTTTTGCACTCATTTTTCTTTCTTTTTTATTCTCTTATATTTTTCTTTTCTTAATATTTTCTACTTTTATTTTCTGCACTCATTTTCTTTTTTTTTCATTTTCATTCTCTTATATTTTTCTTTCCGTTCGTTTTCTACTCTCATTCTCTGTAGTCATTTTTCTTTTTTTATTTTCATTTATTCTCTTTCACTATTCTTTGCTTCTTTTTTCTGCTTCATTCATTTGGACTCTTTCCTTTTCATTGTAATTCGCATTTTTTTACTTCTTTTTTTACCGCATTTTTTTTTTTTTTTACTTTTGTTTGTCGAAATTCTGCAAATATCTGTTCTTGTTTCATTTATAAATCCGCATTAATATTTTACATTTCATTAAATCTCTGGTTTTGTCTCACATAATTTCCTCACAATTCTTTTCTATATTTTTCAAAGTCATTCATTTTCAATGATTTGTCTTTCAAATTTATTTCACTATGTTCCCCCTTTTCTCTTCTTTCTCTTTTTAACATTACACCTTTATATCCATTTATTTCCCTTTATGATCAATTCTATCTGTTTCCTTTTTCCATTTGCCTACAATTTCGCCTTTCCTCTCAGTTTAATACTCAGCCTGATTTGGATACTTCGATGCTTTTTACATTTCCTTGTATCGTGTCCCCTTTTTAGTTTCCATAGTATCTATTGAATCTCCCTCTTTTCCCTTTCAGCTACTTTTCATTCTTTCTTCCTTGAATGCGATTGTTACTTTCCTTTCAATAAGCATTTCCTATTTAGTTTTTCAAAAGTCTTTTTCACGGCTTCTTTCCTTTCTTCCTTTTTCTCTATCATAAATTTCGCTTTCTTTCTTTCTTTCTTTCTTTCTTTCTTTCTTATTGACGATTAAGCTTTTTTAGTAATGTCTCTTCTTCCTTTCGTTTTCTTTCTTTTCTTTTTTCTTTCTTACTGACGATGATGTATTTATTAGCAATGTCTTTTCTTTCTTTCATTTTGTCTTTCTTTTCGTATTGTTTCTTCTTTCTTTCTTTCTTATTGACGATTAAATTTGTATTAGTAATGTCCTTTCTGTCTTATTGACGATTATGTATTTATTAGAAATATCTCTTCTCTCTTTCTTTCTTTCTTTCTTTCTTTCTTTCTTCCTTTCTTTCTTTCTTTCTTTCTATCTTCCTTTCTTTCTTTCTTTCTTTCTTTCTTTCTTTCTTTCTTTCTTTCTTTTTTATTGACAATGGTGTCATTATTAGCAAAGACTCTTCTTCTTTCCAGTCGTTTCTTTCTTGCCCCCCCTAACCTAACACCTATTTTTCATTCTTTCTTCTTTGAATCCGATTCTCACTCTGCTTTTAATAAGCACTTCCTATTTCGTGTAAGTCTTTTTTCACACTTTCTATGTTCAGAGGACTGAAATGCTAAATCAAATCTGTCCTCCAATATGGCAGTCAATGCTGGAAAATTTCCTTACTGATTCAGAAAAAAAAAAAACTCGAAGCGACAGAGATGTGGTTCTACAGAATACCATGGACTGAACATGTGAGCAACGAGGATATGTTAAAGAATATTTGAACTAGGAAGATATTTAAACTTAAAATCAGAAGGAGACTCCTGAATTTCCTGAGGTATAGGACAAGAAAAGAGAGCTTGTATAATTTGACACTCACACAGTGAAGGCAAGAGACAATTCCCCCAGTAACCTACTTAATGTGTGTGTGTGAACGGATAGCAAAGTGGGAACAAAGAAGAATGTCAAATGTGGAACTGTGCTAAAATGTTGAGAAAGTTGTGGAGAGCCATGATAGCCGACTTTCTGAAAAGATATAATTATAAGAAGTATCTTTCTTAGACTTTAAATTCTATTTTCTATTGTTATTTCATTTTTTGTCCATTTAACACTGTTTTTTTTAACGATATTCTTTTTTTTTATCCTATAAACGTCTCTAATGCAATCCTTACTGACCTGGGATCATGCCTTCAGTCATTTTCTCACTAATATTACATGACTTCCCTGTGTCTTTTTCATAAATATTTTCATGAAAATTGTTCTGATGAGCTTTCCTATTTGGTATTCAGACTTGAATTTAAACGTACTACTAGATTGGCAATTAGGTTTTTGAAATTTCCGGAAGGGTACATTGATTGGCATCAGCCTGAAGAAGGTCAGAATGCGCAGTGGTTGAAACGTTGTGATAATGACATTGGTGAGAATATTGGTTCACCTGTGGATGATAGATGTAATTCTTGTTCAGGTGTAAAGAAAATATCTGTCTTGGTTACAGACAGGAAAATATATCGGCTGAAAGTAAAATAGGAGTAATAGGAGTATATAAGTTAACCTATCGTCCGGTTCACACTCCTCTCCGGTTTTTTGAAGAAAAGTAGAGGTTTATCTCTTGTTTTATGTTTGAGATTTGGTTTCCGGTTACTTCTAAATTCTACTTCAACTCTATACTTCTAAAGATCCGCCTAAATTCTGAAATTTATACTATTATTGGATTTCCAGTTCCTTCTAAAGTCTTTTCCTTGTTTTTCACTTCCGGTAGCCCACTTGCGTCTTAGTGGCGTTATAGCCTTGCTTTGGGTGAATTGATTAAAAAAAAAGGGTGTTATCGTTTTAATGTTGAATTAGCTAGATGTAACCGTAAATTCTGTTCTCATAGTTTCTTTTCTATTACTTCTCGCCTGTTGAAATCTTTTCTTGTTTCTTGCTTTCCTGTTGCCTAAAATTTTCCAA